GCCCCCCCCCCCCCGCCCCCAACACCCTTTGTGTTACTAGAATTGACAAAGAGGGGGAAGAGTGAATGTGTGAAAGGGGTAGTCAAACAACATATGCAAAAGTCATTAATAGCTTGGATCTACATGGCTGAGTAATTCTTCCCTTTGGTTTTGGAGCCTCTAGGAATGGCGGTAAGGGCAATAAGTGTTCTTCACAGTGCAGGTGCTTCCTCATGAAACCAGAAAATTCACTGAATGTTTTATCTATTGAATGTGTAATCACTGAGCACCAGCACACTATCATTTGGGTTAAGCAGTCCCCTCTTTTTTCAAAATCCATTTAGCCCCATGTGCTTCCATTCTAATGACATTATGAGAATCCACTAGGAAAAGGGATAATGGTATGAAATACTCTGTAGGTTTCTCTGTGGAAGAAGTTCTGAATAGTAAATCAAGAACTGAGTATTCATTCAATGGTTGGTGTTACATTCAAAGTGTTGCCTTGAAATCACAGTTTTTCCTTCTCTCTAACTGAACGATACGGAAGTTAAAAAAAAAAAAATTCTTGTTAGAGCTATACATTCAGCTGCTTATCAACCACGTGGGCCTAAAAGCTTGATCACCGTGCATTTTTGGCACCAGTGTCACCATATAGGCCTACAAAATGAGTTGGTGTTATTGCATAGCTGTATTCCAGCGTGTAGGAAGTGGCTGACTATTTACCCTAAGGTGTCATACTGTGAGCTACTTCAAAAAGGCAGAAGAGCTGATGTATCATTTAAACACCTAAAATACACATGATGAAATCTTACCATTTCTATAAAGCTCTGAAAGGGATACGTAACTTGTGCTGGCAGTGGGTATCGTAAAGAATGATGGACAATGTGATACATCAGATCACACTTACTCAGGAACCATCTTATTTTTCAGGCACCCAAGTGGAGACCAGTCACAACCAAGCATATCTTAAAGCGGAGGGGGGTTGGCCTGGGCAGAATCCAGCCTTTATGGGACTTACATCCAGCACTTTATTTTATCATGGATAATTTTATGAACAGGGGAGGAACACATACATTTATCTCACACGTCTGTTAACTGCAGGCATCTCATGAAAGTCCCAGAAAAGGTTAAAACGCAGATTCTGAAGGCTACTATTTACATTCAAAAGCAATATAACTAGAGGAAAAAGACTCTGAAGGAAAGTCTCTCACGCTATCCAAGTGTTATATAAGCACATTAGATCACTACTTACATTTATAATAAGCAAACTGTAAGTAATGGTACATGGTTGCCACAAATTTCTCAACAACAAAGCCTCCTATAATCGGTGTCAGATTACTCTCGCACTGTACTTTGCATGCAAGGGCTTCAATATAATGATCTAGAAAGAAAAAACAACAACAACACAGGAAACGGACAGAGCACAGTGAATTATTATAACCCTTCCCGCTCGCTATCCATTAAAACTTGGCCTTGTAATGCTCTCCTGGGTCATATGCAGCTGAGGCTTGCTGCTTGGAAGTACTGAGCATCTACAATTCCATCTGAAGTACATATCAAGTACTGATACTCAGCCCTTCTGTAAAAGTCATTAGGGTTTGGATTTCAAATATATCCAAGCTGCCACCTGAGAGAACTAACAGTTGTGTTTCACTGACACCTACAGGCAATCTTTGGTTGTAACTTTTATATACAGTATTATGGAGTATTGCATTATTTCATATGAACTTAACAGTGCTGTTTTTAAATGTTTGATAGCCTTTGCAACTTCATTCAATTATTACATAATTAAGGTCTACACATCGCTGAGCACAACAATGCCTCAGAGAAAGACATAGGGTGATTGCAAAGTAACCATCTAGAGACGGCAGCATTTGTTGCAGTTTGTACGTTTTGAAGGGGAAGACAAACACCAATACGCTGCTCGCTACAGTACAACTTTCATCCAGAAAGGTTTGAACTTCAAGCTCAAATACTTACCCAGTTTACAAAAGCTTAGTATAATGGGATAGGACTAGCGGTGATCTTACCTTCAAGGAAATACATTCCTAGAAAACTTTCCATCAGAGAACTTCCAGGACTTTCCAGGACAAATAACACTAAGCAACAACATCCAACAAATATTTTAAAGCCTTTGTTTCCCTGCTAGCCACATGTGGTAGGTTAAACAAGTTATCTAAGGCTGTGCAGCAAGTCACCGACAAAAACAGCAAAAGAGCAAAGGCTCCTTTCCCTGTTTTTATCTCTGACAATTCCTAACATGAAGAGCATAGGAGCTAACTGACAGTGCTTGGCCAAATGAAATTACCAGGCCCGTCTTTTACAAGAGCAGTGGAGTCTCCAGACAGAGTGGTGTGCACCTCCAGCCAGTGCTTAAAGCCAGAGCCATGAGTTCCTCAGTGAAACGATCCCATGTAATGAAGACAGCTGGCTTCCAGATGTAACTCACTGTTCAGGGATAAATATGTACCTATTGCAATCACCACATATTTCTGGTTAACATTTTCTGCTACGTCCACCTCCTACAGTAAAAAACCTTGGAGGCAGGAAATGTCTCCCTGGAGCAACAGCACAGTTCAGCTGAAGCTTTTCAACGCTGCAAGTAAATCTGAATTTTCTTACCTCACAGATGAGGACAAAATATTTGAAATACACGGTGGTCCTGATGACATCACGTGGTACTGGTACATCTCCTTCCCACCATTAACTGCTGGAATTGCCCTTTCAATTCCAAGCAGGAAGAGGAAAGGTAATGGTAAGCGCCAAGCACAGCTGGGCATGGACGCAGCAGAAGAGCCATGGCTACTCTTACAGGGGCAGGGAACTATCCGGATGTCAGGGTTCTGGGCTACTTGGGGAGAAAGCCTGTGGTTCATGCTTTGCTGCCTGTGATGTGACCTCTACACTCCTTGTCTGGTGTCCTAGACACCTGCCTGCTTTGCTTACAAGTAAAGCAAGGCTTGGGGAACAGCCTGCAGTAGCTATTCCATGTTAGTGTGGAGTCGGCGTGCACCTGTACAGCTGAGATATTGTGGAGCTGCTCTTATATCAACTTATTTCACAAAGTTCCCCCCGCCAACACACATGTTAGCTTTAGGACAAAAACTTGGGCTGGTTTTCCTTTGGCAACTTAGAAATTCTGTTGCGTTTTTCATGTTGAAAAATGTATTGGGGAAAAAAAAATGCATTCTCCACACAAATACTGTCAACAACACTGAGCCCAGAGCTCTGACAAAACGATCTGTTTCTTTCACTACTGAAGAGCATAGGAAATGCCCATGTGCCATTTTGACAACAGTCAAGAAAGATGATATTCCTTTTCCTTTGCAAAGCAATGATTTTTTCAGAGTTATATGCTTATAAAAAAGCATCTGCTGGCAAAACTCAGGTACGTCAGATGAAAAAGAGGCAACAGAAATTTGTCGTATTTATCAGAAAGGTGATATTATCACCAGTGATGCTGAAACCACACAGTGGTTTTGGAAGGCAGGCTAAATACTGAGCCTCAAAGGCAGCCAAATTGATATGGAAATTATGGTCAAGAGATTGGACTGGATAACTATTGCCAGCTGGATGGAACAGTTGTTACTATTTGCATATCTGTTTTATTCTGACACTCTTAATTTCCATGTTAATGCGAGAACCCTCTGTTCTGATTTTCTGACATCTCCCACCTATATATTACTTAAAAAAAAAAAAAAAAACTAAACCAGAATTCAAGCAGTTTTTAGCGACTCTAATAAACTCACATTGGCCCGAACTGAGCAGGGGGCAGCCTGTATATTTTACGTTGCAAACTGTGGAAGGGGGGCTTTGGTAACTCATCCTAAGGATAAACTGAAATGCACTTTCAGTACTTTTTTCTTATCATTTCCTAACCACTCACCTGCAATGGAGAGATACAACTCTTTAAAATCTTTGATCTCTCGGGAGCCTTCACAGGCTGCCGTACAGTCATCGTAGGCTTTGAAGTAATCAGGAAGAGCCAGTTCCATGTCCGAGATGGACGTTCTCCAGTTGTCACCGTTGTATGCTCTCACGGCCCTGACAAAGAGATTCTGAAAAATGGGCAGGAATGAAAGTTAGCAGTAATTGATCTGTGGAAAGTGTTGTATAAATTTCGGTACCTAAGGTACTTTAAAATGTCTTCTCTCTTGAATCGTGAGGATTCAAACACAGTAAAAGAGGTCTCTGTATTTCTGAATTACTATATAAGCTGTTACTCAGTTAACACGAGGGCAATAAACACAGATGACTAAAGGATTTTACTAGATATTTACTGGTAGAGTATGTAGCTCCATTTCAGATTAACAAAATAATCGGCTGGACAGAGGTAACTGCGATTCTAAAGCAAAGATTTTGATAGAGATTTTCAGCGAAGTCTGAACACTAGTTATCTTAAATATGTTAAGCTGTGCTGCTGCAGCACTCACACGTTTGAATAACTCTATCCACCTCCTTAGCTCCATGGGTTATCTGCATGTAGTGTCCCTCAGGTATACCACTGTATATGACTTGCTGAGACTTATGGAGCAGTGATAAGCACAAGAGGTGAGAATTACTGAATGCATGAAGAAGGCAGAACAGAGATGACTCTGAGGAAGACAAGAAGAGGGAAAGCACAGTAAGACCTGAGAATATGTACGCAAATGAGATCCTTGAATCTCACACAATAAGACAAGAAATTAAAAAAGTTCTAAAAGACCAGACTATGAATAAAAAGCATACCTCATAAGGTTTTGTTTCCAAGTCTTTAATATGCTCCTCAGCATCAGGCATAGTCTTATAGTAGGCCATGTTTCTTTGCATCATTTCGTCATCTGGATGCTTCAGAAGAAACGTGTGAGCTGCTGCAATAGCTTTTGGAAGGTTATTAGCCTAAACAGGGATTGGGGGGAGGAGGAAGAGGAAAAAAAAGATAACTGAAAAAGCCTCTTCAAAGTTTCCCAGTTTTTGTCAACAAACTTTCCTGCAGTCTCTGTATTCCCACGCTTACTTCTACTAAAACCATAGTCTCAGAGGATATGATGGTATGGTAACACTGATAATATGCTTCTCAGTTTTACTACTACCTGCACCACTGCGAATATTTCATTCTGCTTTTTATTTTAAAAGTCTGTTATTACTGCAAATAGTATAGATGATGATTACAAATAGAAAAGAATACTTTTTCCTCTTCTGCTCATAAAGCTGTCAAGGCACAACGTTATACTGCTGCTCCTGTGCAGGATAAATCACCTAGCAATTACTGATGTTAACCTATAGCTATCGGGCAGGAGTGATCGCTTACCAATTTTTTCATGGTGTTTACGTAGCTTATTTGCCTAGCAGCATAGGAGACAATATTACAGTAATATACCTTCTTGATGATGCTGTAAACTTCCAGCAAGCAGCAGTTACTTGCTCAGCAATTGTGTCCTAATGCATTATGTGACTTTCTGCATGCATTTTTAAACTAACCAAATTGCAAACTTCAAATTCCATTGGAGATACTTTGTCAAGTACATGTTCCTCATTTACAACTAGGTATGTGCCAAATACGTATGTGCGTCTATGTTTGTGTCCTACATATATACCTAAATATATATATAGCATATAGTATATGGAGAGAGAAAGGGAGAGTGAGAGAGTGAGAAAGTTTTAAGTATTTGTGAAATAGTAAAACCTTTTCTCTTGTAAGAAAAGATCCAGATCAACACATCCACATAGCGTATGCATGTGTAGTTGATACAGAGTTCCACCTAACATCTGAAATAGCTTATGGAAAAGTATATGTAAGACTATGAGCAAGAATCACAAGCATGTGTGCACATGCACTCTTCTGTTTGTATCCATAAAAAGAACCCTTTCATTTCAGAAAGAAATTTGAGGGACTGTTACACCATGGAAATACTTCAACCCTAACATCTGCTCTTGCTGCTGTGCTGCTGTAAGCGTCAAGGCACGAGGCCAGCTGCACTTCCTGGCTGTCCCAAAACTATGCACTTCCAGTCAGCCCAGACGTTGCTACATGCAAAGGGAAATCGCAGCTGCACTTTCGTCAAATGCTTAATTTCTCTTGTGCTTTATGCTTTAATGTTATTTGCTGGTAGGCTGATAGGCATTTTATTTTTGTTTAGTCTGTGATTTATTCTTGGTTTCAACTTCCACCGCTAAAAAAAAAAAAAAAATTGTAGAAACACATTCTTAAGTAAACTCAGTAGCCTTGAGAAAGACAGCCCTCCAGAGGAGCAAGCAGCAGCACAGAAACATCTGCTCCCAGGATCTAAGACGTGGCAAAATTTCACTGTTGAACACACCTGAATAAATACACTGTCACTCTAAAAAAATTACATTAAGCATTTCCCACCCCCTTTTTCCTACAATGCTAAATGATGTTACGGAAAAAAACCTGACATTCCTTCTTCAGGAAACCACCAGCCAGAAAAATCCCTTTGTACGTAGTGGCTGTATCTGCAAAATCCCTAGTACGCTGAACCCATTCAGAACTCTCTAAGCGAGAGAGAAGAGCTCAGCGATGGAGATTTTAAACAACAGATACTGGAGAGAGAAACGGCAAACTGCACCTCACAAACCTACTGCAAATGTGAACAAAAACCAGTTTAAAGGGGGAGAGGGGATTTCTCTAACTTCCCTTTCGCATTCATACCTGCCAGTTACTAAACTGTAACAGAAACAGTAAGCAGGAGCAACTTTTGTTCCAAAAACATTATTGATGTGATACACACATTGCAAACTTTGTATATACCACGGGGGGGGGAGGGGGGGGGGAAATGGATAATTAAAATAAGTAGGGCAATAAATGGAAACATTTGTGATGATGTCACTTCGGTAGCTGCAGATTGATCTCAGAACTAGGAGAGTGGCTGCTCTCTCCATTATTCAAAAGAAATCACCCATGTTTAAATACCTTCTGTTCTCTCACCTGTGTGTCGAGGCTTTAAGTAAGTTTTTCAGTACAATCTTAGCGATGACTTTAAATGCACAAAACCATGCCCATGTAGTACTGTGCATGCAGACACTTACTGTTGCATGAGAACATATTTCCTTGCCTTAGCTTATGCAACTTGGGAAAAAGATTTAAATTTTATATGAGGAAAAAAAATAGTCCTACAAATAATAAGCAACAGTTAATAAAAAGTGTGTTTTCAAGCAGCAATCTTAAAAAGAATATGCAAATATACAACCCTATATAATGAATACTCTGATATACTAGGAGGGACTCCCTACGTGAAAAAACAATCTAACCAAACGACACAGTTCAGGCTTGCTCCCCTCCCTCCCCAGCTGTCCCACTGGCTTGAAATGCAAGTAGCTGCAGTATCTGAGGGGATGGAAGGAGGCATGGATGTTCATTTAGAGAACGACCAAAGACGAAAATGAGAAAGGAGTGAGAAAACTGTGAACTACATCCTGGACAGGAGGATGAGAAGCTAGAAATACATGATGAAATCTGGTAAGAGAGATGTTCCCAGTCTTGGCTGACCTTAGAGTAAAAAGTAAATACCATTCCACAGCTAGCATTAGTGCCATACTTCAGCAGTCGATTTTAACTTTTTTATTTCCTGTAGCTGTAACAATTTCAGAGTTTTGTAGGCATCGTGTTATCTGTAAGTCACACGTTGGGACCACTTGAAAGAACTGGAAGAGAAGAGAGCAAGTGAGGAAGCTGGACAAGCTGAGGGAGAGGAAGCAGTGGAGCGAGCTACAGCATAGCAGTGACATGAAGGGTTTGAAAAGGTTTTAAAGAAGGTTAGAAGAAATTAAGAAGGATGGAAAAGTAAGAAGGCCGGGGTAGGAACTGCACAACAAGGCATAAGGAGCCAGGATCTGGCGGCTGGGGATTCGGGAAGAACCAAGAGCTAATTTAGGGGATTTGCTGGATGAGTTGTGGAAAAACTGGTGAAGACAGAGCAGGATGGTACCCTGCGGGCAAGTAGGGGGAAAGACAAGGTACAAGCTGGTCCGCGACGGGTTACGCAAAGGTGGGTAGAAGGAATGGGCTGCAAGATTTGCTGGGGAAGATGAAGATGCACAAGGTCGGCACCATGGGAGGGAAGGAGCCCCAGCGGGGGAGAGGATGGAGGGAGACAACGAAGAGAAACAGAGCAGGGCCGATAGGTGTTTCAGGAAAAGCGGTCTGGAAGGGGTGACAGAGAATGAAACGACGGGCTACGGTCTAGGATAACCTGCTCTGAGGAAGAGGCTGTCGGGAGGTAGGATGGGACATCTCTCAAACATGGGGCGTCCTAATGGGGCACCTAGAGCAGCCGATGGCATGTAGGGGCACGCCGCGCCGTCCTCCCCCGCCGCGATGCCTCCGAGCGACACCAGCCGGCCTGCCCCC